ATCCTTTCTGATGACCTGGTTAAGGACCGGGCTGCTTTCAATAGCTACTGCACTACACACATCATTGGGAGGTGCTAACAGGGTGCAGGGCTTCCCAGGAGATTCCTGGTTTGTTGGCTCTCTGGGGATGGATTCCAGACCTGGTTGCTGCAGAAGGCTCATGGGGTCTGCCTACAGAGTGTTCAGAGATCTCAGGATCTGAGAGGGATTCCTCATCATCTGAAAAACCTGCCTCAGGAGAACTGGGTGAGCCATGACAGTCTCCAGCAAATTCCTTTGCTTCACCATGTCTTGCTACACCATTTCATACCACACCTTGAAAACCCAAAAGTTGTGTCGCTCCCCTCCTTCCCTTGGACACCTGATCCCACCCTAGTCCAGTCCTAAGGCTCTTTCAGATTGTCCTGCCCACTTAGTCTGCCTTGACTCTACCTTAGGCCAAGTGGAATACCTTCCCCTCCCAGTAAAATAGTCAGAAAACTGAGCATTTATAACAACCCAGCAGGAAGAAAGCACTTTTCAAAGGTCCTCGAGAACAGACCACTCTTGAATAGTTCTGCAATACAGGAGTAGTAGCAGAAGGTGCTCTTTCCCAGAGATGTGCCAACCTTGTCTCCCAAAGTGAAGGTTCTCTTAGCAGGGCCACACTGGTTCACTTCCCGGGCAGATTAGCACAGAGTGCTTGCAAATCCTTGAGTAGATGTCTTGAAGCCCTATTCTTCCACTGTGGCCACCAACATTTGAGACTCTTCTCTCTGCCTTTCCCTGCCCCTCCTTCCCTGCATGGTCTGTAGTCATTGCAGGAGTTTGAATTGATGGAGAACCTTCTGAAAAGCAAACAGGAAGCCTCTGAGTGCTGGGACCAACGGAGCTCAGTCAGCGTCCGCTCGTCTTTCACCCGCCAAGAAAGGAACCGCCTGCTGTGGGAGGATGTCTCAGTCATTGAGGAAGATGCCACCAAGATCACCGCCCTGAAATTGCGTCTGGATGAATCTCAGAAAGTGCTACTCAAGGAGCGGGAGTGAGTGCTGCCTGTGACATCACTTCCTCTCTGGTCACATGATGGGGGGGCATCGCGAGTATTTGCAATAAAGCATTTATTTTCATAGAAGGAAGTCCAAAATGCTTGGAATCAGCCTTGTCTTCTGTCCTCCTCTCTTTCAGGGATAAGCTGTCCCTCAGCAAGAACATTGAGAAGTTGGAAGGTGAAGTGAGTCAGTGGAAGATCAAATTCGAGGAGCTGAACAAGAACAAGCAGGAAGTGCTGAAACAGGTGGGTGACCTCCAGGCCTTGGAACCAAGGGCTATCCTGACTGTGTGGGCAATCCAGGCTATTTTTTTTTTAAAAAGGGGGGACCTACTTAACCGTGGTTGCAGACCACTGGTCCTGTGTCACAATTACATACTGCCACTACTTTGGCCAGGAAAACTGTCCAGGCCAGCCTTGTCTAGGCTTTGGAGATAGGAGTTAAACAGGAGTGTTCCTGCTCATCCAAAAGGCTTTACCTGTTCTGCTCTTCGCCACCTCTGAACATTGCAGTGGAGTGGCTAGAATGTTAGTTTTAAAGGTGGGAATTGATGCACTGCAGGGCGAAGCAGGCCAGCTGTTATTCAGAGATGGCCTGGTGTTCAGTTTATTTATTGGATTTCGGTACTGCTGTTCTATACTGCTCAAAGTGGTTCACGATAAAACAATGCTAAGCATTAATTATATCTTCCCTTTTCCCTTCCCCCTGCAGTTTCCAATATTAGAACCAGTTCCTAAGCCAGCATTAGGATCACTAATGGGGGAAAAAAATCTAATACCGTTATGCATTTAAAGACTTTCGTGCACTTAAACGTGTATTTAAAATGAACTAGCAGTAACTTTCCACTGTCAGTTTTTCTCTTGATTCAGCATTTTCGAGAAGGTGCACCCGTGTGCTCAGATTTATACATAATTGCATCTCAAAGCAGGTTATTCGTTACCCTTTTAAATATTTTAAAAGTATGTTGAAAACATATACATCTGAGCCCAAGGGGAAACCTTCACTGGCCCTTTGAACCATGGGAGAATTCCCTGTCAGCACAG